GGGGAGCGGGGATCCGGGGAAGAAGGAGAGGAATCCCCGCTCACCTGAAGAGATGGCGCCCGGTCTGAGCGAGCGCGCTTAGATCGGGAAATAGCGAACGGTCTCTCTGGGAGGGGAGGCGGCTGACATTTGAGCAGCCGCCTCCCTTCCCTAGGAGACCGACTACATGCGAGCGTGCGAGCGGTAGTATAGAAGACTTGGGGGGAGGCGGGGGCGCGGGATTCGTGGGTCGTCCGGCCCCACCCCCATGGGGGTGGCGTCGGTCGCCTGCTACCTGCGCCCCCGCCTCCCCCCCAGAGCCCCATGCGAGGGGCAGGAGGAGATGGGAGCCCTGTATTGCATACAGGGCACCCGGGGGTGGGCGCGGGCTGGAGACCCGCGACCCACCCGCCCCCACAACACCAAGGGGGCGCGGCAGGGGCCCGTTGGCACCCCTGCCGCATTGTAACAACGAGAAGAAGGCCGAAAGGCCTAGGTCCCCTCCTCTTAAAGGGGGGGACTAAGCTTGAGCGCGATTCAAGCGTGACGCGGGGGCCATCTGGAGCTTTGCGTTGTATTTCCCAGATGGCCCCCACAATGCGCGATTAGGTGGCCACTCCCGGTGGTTTTAGTGCGGTAGGCGTCTCCGTTGCACTACTGGCTCTGGGCTATCTTCCCAGGTGCCAGGGAGACGAGTCCCACACACCACCCGTCCCCTTCTCCAGAGGGGGCGGGTGACGGTCCATGAGGATTTCCACCGGGTCAAAAAAAAAAAAAAAAGGTAATACATTTCACACACTGTTAAATCACGCATACTTAACCTATTTGTTTACGCAGTGGAAACATTATTCCTCGTGATTTTGGGATACTGTTCCTCAAAAATTTCTTGCTATAAACAATTTATTTTTACTTTCTATTTTAGCTAAACCAAGATTGAAGCAAAGAGCTGTACCATCTGTATTTGCTTGGAGTCATAAATCGTCTGCCAATTTCATTAATCGAGCCATACAAAGCAAAAGGCGGGAAGAGACAAAAATATCAAGAATTTTATCAAACCAGAAAAAGATACTGAGAAAAATATAGCTGTTAATTGTAACTTGAACCATTTTGAGATGAATGATCAGTGTGCTATTAATGGTTTGTTAAATATAGATGTGGAAGAAGTCACTTTGACTGAACAATCTCTTTCTATTGCTGTTCAGTGTGATTTACTGAATAACAAAGAGAATAGTGCACCACAGGTTGAAAAACGTGATGCTGAAACTAACACTGAACATATATCTAATAATGTTTTAAGAATTGTGGGAGGAAGGGGAAAAGATGGCGAGGAGAAAAGAGGTTGGTGAAGGAAGGCAATGAGAGAAGTGTCGGAAGTGAGATATTAAGGTGGAGTGTGAGGAAGGAGGAGGAAGTGAGAGTGAGAGGAACGGGAGAGGAACCAGAGGACATGGAGGCGAGAAGATTCGGCGGAAGGCGGAAGAGAAAGCGAAGTGGAAAAGGTGAAGCGGCGATGAGTCGGCGATTCTGGTTCAGGGAAGAAGGAGGAGAGAGGGGAGCAGGGGAGGGAGAACAGACATGGAGAGAGAAGAGGATTGGTGGAGAGAAGTGAGAGATCGAGAGCGGACGCGAGAAATCGACTGTGAAGAGCGAAAGGGGATTGGTTGGAGAGTTCGAGAGATCGATTCGGCAGGAGGAGTGTGGTTCGAGTTCAGGCAGTCGATCAAGCAGAGGAGGAAGAGGCTCGGGAGTACGGAAGGCGCACAAGAGGGGCAAGCAGTGCAGGTGGCAAGACGAGCGGTAGGACAAGAAAAGGCAGCGACAGAGGCGTAAAAGGATACGGAGGTAGATAGAGAAGGAAAGGTGGAGGAGAAGAAGACAGAAGGGAGAAAGTAGGAGAGGAGAAGAACGAAGGAGAGGTGAGAGAGACGGAGAGAGGAGGTAAGGAGGGAGGAGACGGAGATCAAGGCGAAGGGAGAGACGTCAAGAAGGAGAGGTTAAGGCTAGGAGAAGACGAAGGAAACGCGGGAGAAAGCTAAGCTGATTCTCTTTCGTTTTCGGTAACACAGGAAGAAGAGGAAAGAGGAGGGAGAGACGAGGGCAGTGGACGGGGAAGAGCAGAGGGGGAGAGAGAAGGACAGAGCGGAGGAGAGAAGATAAAAGGAGATAGCAGAGGCGGCAGAGGGAAGGAGATGGATAGGGAGGAAGAGAGGCGGCGAGAGGAGGAGAGAGAGGAGATGAGGAGGTACGAGACAGAGGGAGAAAGGAATGGGAAGAAGAGGTACTGAATCAGCTGAGGACCTTGACGGGAGAGGTGAGAAGAATGAGAGAAGCGATGGAGAGGAAGAAGGAGAGAGAGAGGAGGGAAGAACAATGGAGAATAGAAAGATGGACGAGGGAGGAGAAGATCAAGGAAAGGAGGGGGGAGAAACGGACATGGACGAGGAGTGGCAGGAGAAGGAAAAGGAGAAGAGGACAAGGAAGGAAGAAAGCAAGGAGGGATTAAGTAGGGAAGCAGAGGGGAAGGAGACGAGAAGGAAGGAAGAAAGTAAAGCAACAGAAGAAAGAAGAACGGAGGAGAAGGGAAGGGAGGGGGGAAGAGGAGGAAAAGATAAGCTGGAGGAAGGTAAAAGGGGGAGGGATAGAGGAGGGGGGTGGGAAGAGGGACGGGGAAGGGCGGGAGAGGAAACAGGGGAGAAAAGGGAGGTAGACAGAAGGAGAAGATTAGTATGGAGAGGAGTAGAGGGCAAGGACAGGGAGGAAAGGTTATGGAGGATTAGGAGAGCGGTAAAAAATACGATAGGTAGGGATATAGAGATAGGGGAGATAGTAGAGAGGATAGGGGAGAGGGGAAGAGTAGTGGTAATCACAGAGGTAGTGGAAGAAGAGGATAAGGAGGAGATGATGACTAAGGCTGACTTTTTAAGAGAGAAATGGGGGTTAAAAGTAGACGAAGACTTAAGTATGGAGGAGAGAAGGATAAGGTGGAGGATGGTGGAAAGGGCAAGAGTAGAGAGAAGCAGGGGGAAAAGGGTGAGGGTGGAGAACAGGAGAATGTGGGTGGACGGGAGAGAATGGATATGGGAAAAGGGGGCAGGGGAGGGAGAAGGAGAGTGGAGAATCGGAGAGAGGGAAGAGAAAGGGAGGAGAGGAAAGGATGTGAATTAAGTTATGGATGTTGTAGGTAGGAAGAGGAAGATGGAGTGAGACAGGAGTAAAAGAGGAGAGGATGCAGTAGGGAGAATGACACAGGAGGTGCGAGAATAAGAGGACGGAGGACGAGACAGAAGAAGGATGAACAGGGGAACAGGAGGAGCGAGAAATGGAGGACGGAGGACGAGGAAGAGAGAGATCGAGAGAGGAGAAGGAGAAAGAAGAAAGGTCAGGGAATGGGAGAGACAACGGAGCGGGAAGGGCGGGAAGAGGGGCAAGAGGGGCGGGTCGAGGGGAGGGAGGGAAAAAAAGTGTGTATAGGTCGCTTATGGCCAGGCCGCGGAGGGAAAGAGAAAGTTGTAAAGGGTTCGGGAACGCTCCCTGGAAAAGCGCCAGGTTATGAGAGAGAGGTTATAAAAGGTTTGGGCACGTTCCTTTAAAAAACGCCTTGTAACCCCAAGGGGAATCAATAAACAATACATATTTTAAAAATTGAAAATTTTCGAGATCCTAAACGATTTGAGGAGCTTCATTTTTATACAGGCTTTGACAGTTATGAACACTTTATGTGTTTGTGTATAGTCTATTTAAATCTCAGGTGAACAATATACAATATTACCCGCAATATGCTCCAATGAACCAAGGTGTGAGAATTTTGTCACCTGCTAATAAATTTTTTTTAACTCTTATAAAACTACGTCGCAACATGTTAATGAAAGAGCTCGGTTATAGATTTAATATCAGTGTGTCCTTGGTGAGCCGTATTTTTATCACATGGATAAATCTATTGTTCTGTCAGTTTAAGGAACTAAACATATGGGCTGCTTATAGTAGATTAAAAGATATAATGAAGTTCAAGGGGTAGGATTGTACTTCTACTGTCATCATAGACTGTACTGAAATTCAAATTGAAAAACCAAAGAATCCACTTTCTCAACAACAAACTTACTCAAATTATAAGAGTTGCAACACCCTCAAAATATTAGTTGGTATATCACCAACGGGTACAGTCACATTTGTATCTGATGCATATGGGAGGTCAATCAGTGACAGACAAATGGTTGAAAAGAGTGGCATTTTAGAACAATTAGAACCGGGTGATGTAATTTTGGCTGACCGTGGTTTTACGATTGAAGATTTGCTCTTTCCTAAACATGTCTCTGTAAACATCCCAGAGTTTGTTCCACAAAAAAAAGGACAGTTGGAACCAGCACAATTAAACCGATCTAAGAAAGTGTCATCAAAGCGCATTCATGTGGAGCGTCTCATAGGTCTGGCAAAAACTTATCGCATTCTTTGTGGACCTTTACCCAATAGTCTTGTTTCTCTGGGCAGCCGCATTGTATTTGTATGTTTTATGTTGATCAACTTTCGTTCTAACATAATGTGAGGTGTTTTGTCAAATAAGAATACAAATGTAATTCATAATTTCATATCTATTGTGTTTTTAAAAAGAAAAATTATTTGTCATATTGTACTGGAAAATATTTAATATTAACGATATATTTGTGTAAACAATGGCATTGTGTCTTTCTACCCATTCCATAACAAAATCTGTTAGTAGATAGGAAAGATAGAAAATGATCAAAAGTCAAGGATTTCGGAAAGATTTATTGTGTAGTCTCCTAATAAGTTTAGTGACATTTTACAAGCAGAATATAAGATTAAAAACAAAAATAAGATTTTTCTGTGCTGCTTAAACATAGGTTTAACTGTTGCTTAAAATAAACATAACATGCTTAAAATTAAAGCAAAAAATACATCGTATCTTCATTAAGAATCTAAAAAACAGAAACACTTACAACATATTATGCTAATATCACATGTTATCAATTGTTAATAGTTTGTACTATGTTAACGATATTTTACGATTATAAAATTTATAAATAAACTAATAAGACGTAGTATCTAACACAATATCCTTCGCTATTCTATTATAGATATATTGGTAATGTGCTAATATATCTGATATATTGGTATGTTACGTTTTGAGTGTTCTTTTACATGTTTAACTTTGGCTTGAAATTAACAGAACATGCTCAATATAAAGCAATACAAAACAGAAATTGTGACTTTACTAAAATTGCAAAAATATATTTAAAACATATTATATCACATGTTATTAATGGTCAATTATTAGTAATAAATTAAATAGTATTAACTGGTATTAAAAACCATGAAAATAAAAACTCTGAAAAAATAATCCTACATGTCTAAATCACAGTATCACAAAACTACCTCAACTATAAAGATGAATAATACTTTTCAACAAGAGCTTGAATCATATAATTTTCAAAGAAGTCCTTTACTTTGGAAATTATCACATTTTGAATAACAGAGTTATCTCTACTTATAGATAAGCGTGCCATATCACATGTCGTCCACACAATAAAATCACAAAATTGCCGATTTGTAACAAACATTTCCGTTTGGACTTGATAAAAGTAACGACTTTTTTCTTGTAAAAACAGTTTTCCGTCTCGTTCAACAAGATAATCGAGATTTTTGGCTAATATTTTATCATTTCGGATGGAGTATGGACATTTTATTTCCAAGACAGTTGCCTTGGCAACTAACCCATCTGGTGAGCCACCAATGAAAGGATAGTTTTCAGAGATGAAAAGTCCACACTTTTTCACAATATTGCCACTTCTCTTTTCGTATTCCCGCAATGCAATAGATTCAATCTTTTTACCCCACGATAAAGCAGGAGAATGGATAGGCTTAGGATTTACCAATTGTTTAGCAAATGCTTCTTTGTTTCTACGTTCCGTCATAAGGACTATAGCTCCCACATTAGATGCAGTGACAATGCAGCTTCGAATCCGATGCCATTCACTGCAGTTACTTTGTTTTATAGTCCGTCCTTCAATTCCAACCCTATCTACATGATAGTTCTGTAAATGACAAAGTGAAAGCAACATGTTAGTGAATCCCACTTATACTCTCTGTAATATGCTATAAAAGCATAAATATAAAAGTAAATAAGCAATATGACACTTACCTGAATAAGATTTATAATCATTTGATGATCCAATGGACGCAACAAGTAGTCATGGTCATGGACAATCCCTTTCATTGATGCACAGTTTAAAACACCACAATATCCAAGTTTCTTTTTAGAAGTGAGGCAAAAATTGATGGTCATATTTCTCACAAAGTCATTAAATCCAGGTAAGTTACGAAATGACAAGGG